TGATAAGGAAGCTCTTCAAGCTAAAAGGAAATGATACCAGAAGGAAATCTGGAGTTCAGGAGTGAAGAAGCAATAGAAATGGTAAATATCTGAGTAAATATAAAAGACTTTCTTTTTTGTTCCTTAAAACACACACACACACATGCACAAACATTGTATTAGTTTCCTATTGCCACTGTAACAAATGTTCACAAATTTAATGGTTTAAAACAAGCCAAATTTATTATTTTACAGTTTTGGAAGTCAGAAGTCTAAAATGGGTTGATGAAGCTGTATTCCCTCTGGATGTTCTAGTGGGGAATCCATGACCTTACCTTTTCCAGCTTCTAGAGGCTGCCTGCATTCCTTGGCCTATTACCTCACATCACTCTAACCTCTGATTCTATTGTCACATCTTCTATAACATTTCTGCCTCTCGATTTCCCTTATAAGGACCCTGTGATTACATTGGGCCCATCCAGCCAATCCAGGATAATCTTCCTACCTCAATATCCTTAACTTAATAACACCTGCAAAGTTCCTTTTGCCATATAATATAACATAATATCAGGTTCCAATACATAGGCGTCTTTGAAGGGTCATTATTCTTACTACCACAACAATCATTAAGGAGCAATAGTTTTTGTATAATTTAAAGTTTTCTAGAGCACAGGAAAAGGTGGAAATATTCCCAATTAATTCTATAAGGCTTCACAAGTCTTATACCAAAACATAAAAGAATAGAACTAAAAAAAGTAAACCAGAGGTATTTAACTTATAAATATATATCATATAATAACATTTTTTGTAGTTGTTGTAATGAGAACATTTAAGATCTATTCTCTTAGCAACTTTCAATTATACAGTACAATACTGTTAACTATAGCCACCATGCTGTACATTAGATCCCCAGAACTACTTATTCATTTTATAACTGGAAGTTTTTACCTTTCAACCAATCTCTCTTCTCTGTCTCTTTCTGTCTTTGTCTCTGTCTCTCTGTCTCTGTTCATGTGTATATGTATATATAACATTTTTTAATCCATTCATCGCTTGAGGACACTTAGGTAATACTTCAGTGAGCATGGAGGTGCAGATATCTCTTTGAAATAGTGATTTCTTTTCCCTCAGAAATGTGCCCAGAAGTGAGACTGCTGTATCATATGGTAGTTCTATTTTTAATTTATTTTTAGGAACCTCTGTTCTGTTTTCCATAGTGACTGTACCAGTTTACAATCCCACCATGAGTGAACAAGGGTTTTCTTTTCTCCACTTTGACCCAGCAATCTCACTTCTAGGAGTTTATCCTAAGGAAATAATGCCACAATTGCCAAAATTTATCTGTACAAAGGTCTCCACTGTAGTATTTTTATAATAAGCAAAGATTAAGAAGAAGCTAAATATCAATCAGCAATAGCTTGGTTAAATTTTTGATAAATCCACACTACAAACTAGCACTGTATCTGAGAGGACGATGTACATAGTACATTAGGTGAAAAAAATAGTTTGCAGAATGGTATGCATAATATGATCCCAAATGATATATGTGTACATGTAATGTATCTACATATGTATTTTTTGTTAGTATATATAAAACAACAACAACACCTGGAAAAAGTCCATTGAAAAATTAGTAGTGGTTTTCACAGGACTTATCCTAGGATTGAGGTAGATGGGCTGTCATGGTAATTATCAGAAGGGTGGAGAATTTGAGATATTTTTATTTTATCTCCCTCCTTTTCCTGGTTAACACCTGCTTTCCTTCATCTGAGCTCAAAATTTCACTCCCCTTTCCCCTTCAAGGAAGCCTTCCCTGATACCTAAACTCTACCACTTCTTTTACTATATTAGTAGTGTTTCTTTCCTTCATAATATTTTTTGTTTTTTTATGTATGTGTGATTATTTCATTAAGGTCTTGTTTCCACTATGAGAGCAGAGTCAGTATCTGTTTTTTTTCATCAACATATTCACAATAAGCATAATACTTATGGCCACTCTTCCTCTTCACCTCCCTCTCCTAATATTATGATGTGGACAATTGAATTTTGCTCAGTATTATGTAAAGGGTTATAAAAGTGCAGCTTTTAGACATCCCTGTCAATCACACAAACACAGATGAACACATCAGAAACAAACAGCAAATGTCACACTAACTGGTGAAATATTCAGGGAGATTCCCATTTACTTCATCATTTGGAGATGAATATGTATACATACCTAGGTAAACCAAAGATATCAACTGAAAAACTATTCTAAAAATTAAGAAAGGTCACTAAAAATAAACGTATCATAAATATCTTTCCTGAGACAAGCAATAACCTGGTAGAAAATATAATCATAAATGAAATGTCAACCCCCAAAGCAACAAAACATTAACTTACTTAAGAATAAGCTTAACAAATAATAAGTATGTCTTGCTTAAGAAATATAAAATTTATTGAAGATCATAATGTTTACATGGATCGAAAGACTCAATTTTTAAAGATGTCAGTTCTCAAGTTAAATTGCATATTCATTGCACTTTATGTTACTAAATGTCAACAATTTTGTTCTGCAAATTGTTGTTCAACTTGAAACTTGACACACTTCCACATTCTACTTTACACATTTCTGCATTGTTCACACAGTTTAAAAAAAAAAAAAAAAAAAA